TACATGCCCTTGACTGGAATCGAACCTGGGACCCTTGAGCCCGCAGGCTCTATCCACTGAGCCAAACCGGTTAGGGCAACTTATTTTGTTTTGTGTTTTTCTTAATCCTCATCTGAGGATATTTTTTTCCATTGATCTTTAGAGAGAGAGGAAGGGAGGGAGGAGGGGTGTGAAAGAGAAAGAGAGAGATATAACTGGTTGCCTCCCAAACTGGGGATCAAACCTGCAACCAAGGTACGTGCTCTTGACTAGGAATTGAACCTAAGACCCTTAGGTCTGCAGGCCAATGCTCTAACCATTGAGAAAACTGGCCAGGGCTAAACTTATTTTAAAATTTACATGGAAAGCAATAATTGCAAGGAGAGGAAAAACCATTTTGGAATACACTGAGTTGGGGGAAAATAAAGCCATCAGTGATCTTTAATCAATTTAATGGTGTCAGTCTTTACACAGACTTTTAAAATTTTTTTTACCTAGTCAAATCTTCCTGTGGTTTTTGGGTTTTTATGACATGCTACTTCAAGATTATAAAAATATTTCCTTTTGGTATTCTTATACTTGTATATTTTTAGTTTATATCTTTGTGTCAGTTGCAGTTTATTTTTGTGTATGGTGAGAGGTAGTTAGAAATACCATACTTAACAGGGACCAATAGGTACTAGCCTAGAAGTCAGAAATCAGCAATCTAGGCTTGCTCCCATATTACCTTTGTAATCTTAGACAAGTTAATTCCATCTGGCCCAAGAGTCCTAATTTTGAAAATGAAGATAAATAAGTAAATAAATAAATATCTTTTCAGACTAATTTCTAGCACTACTATGAGGAAATAATGAGATTATAGATGAGAAGGCTTTGAGAAGAAAAAAATATTCTGCAAATCTTCTAAGTTATTAATATAGATTTTTTTTGGTTTATGCAAATCAAATGTTAGTGGAATGCAGTATTATTTTTCTGAACTTGAAAATTATTGATTCGCCAAGTGTTTATTGAGTGCCTTTGTGCAAGACCTGGGGGAAGGGAGGGGAGAGTGGGGAAGATGAAAACTTAACTTTTTCTTTTGAGTGCCTATTTTGTATTTGGTGCCTTTTAAATTTATTTCAGAGAGGAAGGGAGAAAGAGAGTGGGGGGGGAGAAAGAAACATCAGTGATGAGAGAGAATCATTGATTGACTGCCTCTTGTATGTCCCCCCCACTTGGGATCTAGCCTGCAACCTGGACATGTGCCCTGACTAGGAATTGAACCTGTGACCTCTGGCCTGGTTGATTTCAGAGAAGAAGGAAGAGGGAGAGAGAGATAGAAACATCAATGCTGAGAGAGAGTCATTGATCTGCTGCCTCCTGCATGCCCCCCACTGGGGAGCAAAACCACAACCCAGGCATGTGCCCTTGCCCGGAATTTAATCCGAAACCCTTCAGCCTGCAGGCTGACACTCTGTCCACTGAGCCAAACCATCTACGGTTTTGGTTCTTTTCTTAAAGAAGGCTAAGAATTAGTCCTCTACCTCACAATGGGTACTTAAAGAGAGTAGGCACCTCTCTATGAATGTGGGTGTTGAGTCAGTAGATACCATAGAAGCAGTGTTTTCATTTTCTAAGAAGCCTGGCTGAAAGGGCTTTAAGAGGCGCCTTCCCTAATCCATTTGCCCACAGGCAGGCCCCCTCCTGTGTGACCTTCCCAGACTTCCTTAGTATACACTTCTCTTAGGACCACTCCATCATTTATTCAAATGGTATTGTAATGAATACCAATTAGTGTTTTCCTGCACCAGCTTTAAGGAGAGCCTAAGTGTTTTTTCCTTTTTGAAGGCTCCTCTGGGCCAGTTGTACAGAGTTCATTAGCCCTGCCTATCCATCATAAACTTCAAATCTATTGTGGTGAGCATGCCTTCATTTTACCTGCCGGCTTCCCTTCTGGCCTTTTAGCTGACAACTAGTAAATACTCAGCCATGTTAGCTGAACTAGCTAAACCCAGTCCTTTCTCTGAGAGCCAGCTGGTCTCTGTGATAGAAATGAGCAGTATATGGCTACCTTTGTCACTCAGATCTTTGGGATGATAGTGGGTTGAGGAATTGGTGTATAGGGCATTGGTCGGCAAACTCATTAGTCAACAGAGCCAAATATCAACAGTACAACGATTGAAATTTCTTTTGAGAGCCAAATTTTTTTAACTTAAACTATATAGGTAGGTACATTGTTATTAATGTAATTAGGGTACTCCTAAGGCTTAGGAAGAGCCACACTCCAGGGGCCAAAGAGCCACATGTGGCTTGCGAGCCGCAGTTTGCTAACCACTGCCCTAGGGTCATTCCTTGAGCCTGGATCTTTGTGTATTTTGGAATTCTTGTTGCCCCTTAATTCCTTCTTAATCTTTTTTTGTTGTTTAAAAATAACCTTTATTTTAATTATGTAAGTAATTGAAGTTATCATATAAAATTATAAAAATATAGAGGCATATAAATAAGAAAATAAAAATTTTAATTCCAATACCCCAAAATAACCACAGTTAATATTGTGAAGTCTTTCCCCATCTTTTTTAGTCTTTTTGTATAGAGAGTGACTGCTAGTAGCTATGGGGTTTCTTTTGGGGACGATGAAAATGGTCTGGAATTAAATACGTAATCAGTGCACAACTTGTGAATAAATTTTTCAAAACCACTGAGTTGTATTCTTTAAAAGGGTGAACTTTATGAGCTTTTATTTTTCTAAAAATGTTTGTAGATACATGCACACAGTATTGTCTTTTTCTGAACTGAAATTTACAGTATTTTTGCTCCTTTATTGCTGTGTTTCAGCATGTTTTCTAAGAATAAGAATGTTCTCTTAGCCCTAGCTGGTTTGACTCAGTGGATAGAGCATTGGCCTGCCGAGGAAGCGTCTCCGGTTTGATTCCTGTCAAGTTGCAGGCTTCATCCTGACCCTGGTCAGGGCGCATGTGGGAGGCAACCAATCGATCTGTCTGTCTCTCTGTCTCTCCCCCTCCTTTCTACTCTTTCTAAACATCAATGGAAAAATATCTTTGGGTAAGGATTAACAAACAAACAAACAAAAGAATGTTCTCTTAGCCCTGGCCCGTGTGGCTCAGTTGGTTGGGTGTCGTCCCATGCACCAAAAGGTTGCTGGTTTGATTCCAGGTCAGGGCACATGCCTTGGTTGTGATTACAAAATCCGAATTCATAAGGTGAGTCACACTGAAATCCACAACCACATGAAATTGCACCAATGTTCCCAAATGTGGATTGGCTCTTAACCGGTTAAAAATGCCGATACCGGTTAAAAATGCAAATTTTGTAATCAAAGAAAACACGATAATTTCAAGAGAAACATCAAAAGTGCTTTATTCAAAGTAATGTCCATCACTAGCTTCATATTTCCCCCATCTTTTAGGTAATTTGTAGATACCGTCCCAATAGAACTTTTCTTGTTTTGAGGCAAACCATTCAGAGACCCAATTTTCCACTTCTTCGTATGTTTTGAAGTGCTGCTCAGAAAGTGCGTGTGCCATTGATCGGAACAAATGGTAATCTGAAGGAGCTGGTCACAAGGCTTTAGCTGCACCCTGACTCTCAAATTTGCTTTCTATTCTAGCATCTCATCAGAGCTCGGCCTGACCTCCTCCCATATGAGTATCTGTAGCCCCAGGACACCTCCACGTGGATGAGTGTTTCCAAGAAATAGGCATTTACTTTCCCTCCAGCTTCCCCTTTCTGCACCCTAATTTTTTTAGGGGGGATGATTATTTTTCCAGTCACCCAGGCCTGAAACCCCAAGGTTATCTTTGACTCTTCCTTCTCCTCCAATGTAGATTCCGTATGTGTTGAATTCAGTGCAATCTAGTGAGTGGCCACGCCTGCAGCTTCCTGTATCTGTCCTTTCCTACGGACACCATTCTATTCCAGTGTGGACCACCTCTTGTCTGGTTTATGGCAACAGCCTATTACTTCTGCATCCTGCTGCTCGACACTGGTCTTTGGAGAGCATCAATTTCATCACATTTTTCTTGACACAGAATCTTTCAGTGACTTCCCATTTTCTGCAGGAAAAAATTTAGATTCCTTGGCCTGGCTGGCGCTCCAGGCTCCCTATAATCTTGTGCAGCTGTGCTCCTGTATCACTCTTTTTTTTTTTTTTTAAATATATTTTATTGATTTTTTACAGAGAGGAAGGGAGAGAGATAGTTAGAA